CCCCCCCCCAAGATGTGACGTTTCATAACCCATTTGACCCTGATCGTAACCCCGCTGTCCCTATTTAATTGGCAAACAAATTTTATTCTAGTATCTTAGATTTGTTGATGTTAAAAAGAAAAAGTTGAAATGAAGTATCCATCTCTCCTTCTTTGTGTCTTTTCTTCTTTTCTTCTTTACTGAGAGCTCCCATGTTCTTTTTCTACTAAAAAGTTGAAAATCTTAATGATCAAATGAAATTTTTTTAGTAAGGTGATTTCTTCGCGATAAAAAGCAAAGGTGTGCTACAACTTTGAAAAAAATTTGATGCAGGCCTTCTCAGTAGAATTTCTTACTTTCGCATCAGGGCATGATTCGGCTACACCAAGACTCTGAATCATGAGCATAAGCTTGTAGGCTGGAAGATTCAACCTTTACAGATAATCTTCTAATACCCGCAAAACAAATCCAATTACTCACAAATTTATAAGCAAACTCTGAGGACAATAACAAAGCAAATAACAGGATCATCTGAGCAACTAAGCTCACAAAGCAACACCATAAGCTGCAGAAGTGTCCGTTTCAGCCAAATGCAACTCTACGTCAGAATTGTGCTCTCTTAGATATTCTTTAATGTGTACTAGAAAGCGGTCGTTCTTAGCGGTTCCAATGAGGTAGAGCTTTTTGACACCATAGGAGACTAACAGTTCAGATGGTATTAGACTGAACAGGTTGTAGATCACTCCTCGACAAATTCCGATGAGCATCTGAAGTAATTTGCGTAGAGTCAAATCATCGCAAATGCCATTTCCCTACTTCTGTTAAGGACGTATCCGTCTTCAACCCAATGATATCCACTCCTTTGTCTTCGGATCCCCGTTCTTTAGTGAACAGAGCATTTACATCGGGAATCCGGTTCTGTTCTGCATTGTGCAGCGAAGTAGCTAAATAATCGAGTACAAAAATAATTTTTTGTAATTATGTCTAGCCAGCTGATACAGAATGATGTAAACTTTGATTGTTCCGAAAACGTAAAACCGAAACAAACCTTTATCAACGCCAGAAAAAATATGCCCTTTGTCAAGTTGACAAGTGCAATCTTTGCCTGACGCTTCAGAACACCATCGTTGTATCATCTGAAAACACTAACATTCCAATAAAAAAGATTTATATATCAAAAACACCTTAATATTTCAATCATGCAAATTAATATCTTCAAACTCAGTATTATTCTCGAATGCCTGGGGGGAGGGGATACCAATTTTTCTTCAGCATTCCAAAAGCAGTTT